ACACAAAAAAGCCCCCCCAGCTTGCTGACACTTTCAGGTTTCAGCACCTGAGCAGCGTAAAGATGTATTTCCACGTTTGGAGCATCCGCCATGCAGCGGCACTGCCGGTGTCTCACATGAGAGCTCAGCGCTTATTGCTGATTTATCACTTTTGAGGAAATGTCTTGTCCTCAGTACCAATGTGTGCATAAAGATGATGATTTTTCCTTTACGTGCTACATGGAAATCTTTCAGCCAAGACGTACACTGATGAACCCCATTTCGCTCTGCAGAGACGGCTGCGCCCGGGGGAGAAGCGAGTCACACGACAGTAATGAGACCTGCAGGCCTGGTCAGTGTGTGCGTGGGTTGGTGCTATGTGTGTTTGCACAACTCAGACCTTCAGCATCTCCTCGTGGATGCTATAATGGCCGTAGGAGCTGAAGTAGGCCTCGTCCTCGTCCTCTCGGAGCTCGGCCACCGCGCCCAGGTTGCCAGGTTTGCTCGTCCCCGAGTTCAGTACCAAACCCTGAGCCAGGAGCCTGAAAGCACACCAGATATATCTGCCTTTAACGTCTCTTATTGGGACAAAAGCAGCGAGCTGAAAAGCAGAAAGCACACACAACCTTCATGCAGGACGTAGCAGTAAATGGAGGAGATGGGAGGCATTAATCTTTCTAACTCTCTTCCAACCGCCCCAACCTCACTCTTTCTGTAATTTTCCCTTATTGCCCCCCCTTTCCTACCTCCCCTCCTCACTTTAACCTCCATGCTGCAGTGGAATTTTCCTTTCTCTTTTTATATCCTTCCCCTTCCTCCAAACTTCTTCAACAAGGTACTCTAGTTGATGTTGCTGCAATACTGGGTTCACTGTGTCCCCCTGCTGGCCTCAGGAGGGTAGTGCAGAAGTAGAGCGCCACACCGAGTACAACGCAAGCTGTCAAGAACATGGAAAGGAAAAGAAAATCTACCCAGGACTGACATGAAATAAACTAATATGACAACCATATCACACATAGTAGTGATACAGAGAAAGTAAAAAATGCAGAAACATCACTGACTTGAGTTTGTGAAGGTCGTCCATGGCTCTGGTCAGCGCCTCCTCTGCAGTACAGGCTCTCTCCTCAGCGGCCTGGGCCCTTTGCTGCAGTGCATCATGGGACTTGGTCACAGACGACGGGCACATCGACAGGCTGGAGCCCTCACAGAGCTCCTCAAGGTCTGTCAGAAACACAGAGAGGGGGAGACAAACAGAGATGTATAACATCAAGGCTCACCACAGTGACTAAAAACATAGTATACATTGTATATATATTATTTTGTAAATTCATGCCGTGCATGATTTGTGTTGTTTAAATGGCTGTTACATGAAACATTTTCCTTGAAGGGTCGGTTAAGTGAAGTGGATGTGGAATCAGACTAAATCCGTTCAGGTCATATCTAAAAATGATAATCTGCCTAAATTCTGATTGTCAGACCTTCCAGTAGTTTTAAAGACCTCTTATGAAAACAATAACTCCATGCAAGAAATGAGTGTTGCTTCTGGGAGCGGAGATGTGCACCGTAGAGGAGGCACGGAGGCCGGTTTCTGCAAACAGGCCGCGGGGCTGAATACGGTTCGTCACCGTTGCATTTTCTCAAGCGGAATATCTGCCACTCCACTAGAGCTCTCTGCACCAACGCAGAATACTAAAGCTGCTCCTTCTCTGAGGGGCTTTTCAAAGAGGATTCTGAGAAACAAATCACTGACTGCAGAGTCTGCAGACAAACAGCAGGCTGCACCGCAAATCTACAAAATCTCCAAAAACGTAAAGGAGTTCGTGAGACCAACTGAAAGCCTCATCAGCAAAGTTTTAAGGGGTTTCTTGTCCAACAGCGCTAATGATTCAAATATGAATTCAGAAAAATATTGCTTAGGTGTCTCCTCTTATATTGCCATTGAATACAGTCGTTTCTGGTCAGGCCTTCTTTCATGGGTGTAGCTTTTGCAAATGATCTGCAATGCAAATGTGTGGTTTAGTGTGGTGTGTGTGCGTGTGTGTCAGGTTCGAGTGTACCTGTCTGCAGCAGAAGGTCGTCCTGCAGGACTGGTCTCAGGAAGTCTTCGCTCTCCCAGGGTAAAGGAGCGTCTGGCAGCCCCGTCAGACCGGATGCATCGCATTTCTATAAAAAAATGAATCAGCAATCCTGTCATACTTTTTTTATTTTCTTAAGTTCTTTTAATTATCTTTTAGTGGATGTTTTCTGATGTTTTTTTAAAATGAAATATTTACAATTCCAACGCCCCATGAATACAAACATGAAACTCAACAATATAATGTTGAATAAATAAATCACATCTCATTACAGACAATACTTACTGTTGACCGTATGAAGTTGATCATCTTTATGTAACCGTAGTCATCTAAATCTAACGAGAGAGAAAAGAAGAGATGGTGAGCCATTTCAACAGAACCGAACGATCCTCCGGTTCTTCTTTGCCGCAGCAGAGCCTCTGACTCTACTTACTGTGTTTTCTTATCACGTCCACGAGGTTGACCTGGTGCTCATCCGTGCAGTGCTGCAGGGTGGCAGGCACAGAGTTCAGCAACCTGAAACACAAAATGACACAGGTAGGAAAATCTGTTTAAATAAAACATATACATTTACACATATTAAATCTTTACAAATCAAAAACAGCATCTGAGATGCCTTGCTTTATTGCATGGTAAAAGAGTACAGTGTAGTAGTAACATTTAGAAGTAAACCTTGAATTGTATTTATAAGTACTTAGTATGGATATCCAATTATTGTATAGTTATTGAAAGTGAAGACAAACAGTTGGGACTGTCCGTCTGATACTGTATATGTGAAAACACAAAGCTCTCTCACCTGTCACAGAACAGACACGTGACGTTAACCGGTAGACCGTCCTCCTCCTCCTCCCACTGCCACGGCTCTTCATCATTATCCATGTCTTCATCATCACCGTCAGAGAGCTCCGGCATCTCGTCGGCAGCTCCATCGCCGCCTGTCAAAGTGAAACCTCATTCATTACAGCCGCTTTGCACACAGGTCCTTTGGCTAAAGCTAATTATTTAAAAGAGTTAGCATCACCGTTACAGCTGGGAAAACGGCTGCTAACGCATCGTGTGACGCAACAAATTGACAATACGCAATAGAAAGGTTCGCCAGCCACAATAAGCGCATGCTTTTATACCAGCTATAGTTTTTTGGGGGGGGGTTTTAAATGAGCTATTTACCAAACTCACGTGGGTCTGTGTATTCTGCCATGATGCCGCCTTGGTTACAGTGGACTTCCTGGTGACGTTTGGTGACGTAAAGAAGGGGGCCGGGCCGAGTCAGAAGAGACACTTACAGATAACGACCACAAGATGTCGCCAGAGTTTAATTTATGAATTGCTGATCTTAGATACTTTATCTGCCCATGAAGGTGAAAAGTATAATTTTACGACACTCACACTATTTAACAGGTTTTATTGTCACCTATGGAACAGTGCAGATCTTCAACTGTATTACAGATTGATTGCAAAAACTCTGAGCACAACCTTGAACCCGCCCAGCAATAAAGGATTAATTGCAAAGAAAACATTTAGCGTTACAGCTGTAGTGTGTGGACTTAAGCTTGATGGGCAAAACATTGGAGAAAATATCTAAATAAAATGCAAAGTGATTATAAAATATAATCGATTGGGCTAAAATTTCAATCTTTGTTTAGCCGAAAAAAAATCAGTTGCAACCATTGACATAATGTTAGCAACTTGGCAATTAGGTCACTGTCGCAGTTCAGAGTCTCCATAAAACATGGAAATGGCTTCAAAACATCAACAAGTATTGTCAAATGCTCCATGTATTTTTTGGTGAGTGTAAGTTATATTTATGTGTGTGGTTACACACAATAACTTAACTTTAATAGTCAGGAAAAACAGATGTTTAGCTAACTTTAAATAAAAACAGAAGAACAAATCCAGTAAAGTTTAAATTATTTATTCAACGACCCCTTTGTGGACAAGCTGCAGAGCTCCCATAGCTTTAAAATCTGTAGGGGGAGAAAACGGTTTGTTTGGATATTTTAATCATAACCTTGACATTCACACTCATTGTAGCTACAAATACAGATAAGTTTCAAAAAATACATCCGTTTAACCATAAGGCCTCACCCTCTTACTGCTGTTGCCATTGTCTTGCTTTTAGCAGCAAATAAACCAAAGCTACTTAATAAAAAACAACCCCTATATCATATCAGTATTTAGAGCCCAATGTGACCACATTCAGTCACAAGGGGGCGCTGCTAGATCACGGAGAAAAGGCAAGTTTATTTGAAAATCATCTCTCAAACAAAAAGGCAATTTGAAGTGCTTCACTTAGAGCAACATACATCAAAACACAAGTATAAGAAGAAAAAAAGGAAATAAAATGTATTAAAGTAGAAGACAGTTGTGTACAACTATGAAACAGAAATAAAACAATAAATGAAATCGAAATAAAGAGTCTTAATATTTCAGAATTTACCAGGAAAAACAATAGCATAGATATGGTGATATGCATCCAATATATGACATGCTGCAGTGCACAGATATAGTATAGCACATATATAGACACCCAATATTAAAAATGAAACACCCACACAGTAAAATAATTATTATGAAAATATGTTAAATCCATCCAATATTTTAATCTAGTGTCAAATAAACTCAAGCATTTACTTTAAGGCGGTTGTAAGGCTTTCTGACTATTGAAAACCTCATGGATACATTTGAAGTAATGTGGAAATCCTTTGACATAATGATGATGACCTGAACAGTGTTTGCAGTATGGAGTCGTCTGTTTATCCGCTGAAATGACCTGAAAAGAGAAGAATAAAATGAGCAGTTTGAATACAGGTGACACAGAACATCACAGTGAACTCTGACCTGTCTTTGGTATTTTTAAGCCTGGACCCTATGTTCCCATGTTTTTGTATCTAAGTGACTAATGGAGAGTTTTGAAATTGGTCCAGTATCGAGCGAGAAAGCTGCAGCAGAACGAGATTTAGCGCCCGCCGTCTCGCTCAATACTGGACCAATTTTTAAAAAGAATTGTCCCCATTAATCACTTAGACACAAATACAAAAGGGTCCAGGTTGAAAAATACCAAAGTCACGCTTTAACTTTGCACAGGTACAGCTTTAGGAATTTGGATCATGAATCAGCTGAAAGCCTTTGTTTTCCTTGTATAAGCAACAGTGATTCCTTTAGTGGCGAATCTTTAATCTGACTTCACAGCAAAACTGGATTTTAAAACCACTTCTGAGCACAAATGTTTACCACCCAGCAATTTTTAAGAACAGCATTTCTATGGAAGTTAATAGGGAAATAACATTAAGATGAAGACATAAAAACAAACTAGTACTTGCATAAAAAAGGATTAATAACATGGAGACTATGACCACCCATTTGTGTGGTGCACTGCCTCAGTGTCTTGTATCTAATGCAAAAGGCTTGACATCCATATGGTCATCAGATATAGATGTCAAGGAGTCCAACCAGGAAATTACTGCTTGAATTGATCAGTGTAAATGGGAATCATCATTCTCACCTCTGGGTATTTCCTTCTCTCACTTCTCTGCACTTTTCCCCAGACTAGCGATGTCTTTGTTCTCCAGGATCTCAGACTTCTGCTCAGGTTGAAGCAGAGTGTTTGACGCCATCGCTTTAGCCACCACTTCGATTGGGATGGACATGGACGTGGAAGACACAGCAGAAAAGGCACCGAAGAATTTCCTAGCCAGCCACTCACCGGGCCGACTCTCCTGCCTGTCTACCAACAAAACCCTGTCGGAGAAAAAAAAAAAAAGAAAAGAGAAGTATTTTAGCCACCGATAAGAAAGGCTCGCCTAAAAAGTCAAACATCCGTTTTAAATGTTATTTAGAATACTTTCACCGCTTGCAGCCAAACAGCCCCTTTCCTTAGCTGTTATTTAGCCAAAAAGGACTGTGCTGCCCACCAGCTGCTAACAGGTGTGTAGCCACAGTTTGCAACATGCGCAGTATCGTAAATGAGCTGCTAAATTATACGATAACGTGATGTTCGATCGGTACATAAAATCACATTCTAACATGTCAAACTGCCAAATTAGCAGCAGGGGAGGAGTTGAAACAACCTCAATCACAGTCCCTGAAACATAAGTGAAACATAATGTTTGTATCCTCTTCTCGAGTGATGATGCGAATGAAGCCACGGATGAACATGAGAGTCCATCCAGATTTTGTTTTGTTCTGCTCACCGGGCCTTTGCATTGGGAACAGCCATCAGATGTCCTAATCCATGCCAACAATTAGATGTGTTTTGGCGTTTAATTATTAGTGTCAAATGGTTAATGGTGATTTGAAAGTCTTAAAACATTATTTTAATTCAGTAAATGAGCTCGCTCACCCTGGTCTGTAAATGGCATATCTGTCAAAACCCAGCGCCTCAATCTCTGCTTCCACTTGTCCCTGGAAAAAAAAAAAACAATTTCCAGTGATTGTCCGATGTCATTATTTAATGAGACAAAACGGGCAAGAGAAAGAGGAAGACTTCAGTAAGTGGCCTGCAGTAGAGGAAGGAAATAAAACACCTTGACTTTGAGGTAGAGGAAGTTGCTGTCTTTATTGGCTCCTCTGGAGGACTCCAGGTGGAACTGTGTGCAGCCTCCTGCTTTGGCGAGCTCTGCTGATTTTAGGACGTAGTCGTGATCAACGCGGATGAATCCTTCCTGAAGTAACAGAAGAAAATGACTTTGACATATACCCCGACCAATACTGAACTTTTGAAGACAATATGATATAAATATTTGAGGGTTTTGAAACTCTTACTATCTATCTATCATACAGTTAGGGTTAACCCTTTTTAATAGTCGTGACCCAGCTATGTCCAGAGCAGAACATTCTACAGTTGACAATACTTTGCACGGAGAATATGGAGGTATTTTGGCAACTTGTGCCACAGTTCAACAGTAAAATCTTAATGATCCATCAGCGTTTGATTTGTAATGTTTAACTTACAGTCCCTGCTTTTGCTTTGGTTGTTCCCAGGCAGCAGTAGCCGACATCATGGCCCTGGAAGGCTGCAGCATGATCGTCAAGCTTCTCAAATTCCACCACCTCTTGTAGCTGGAGGCATAGAAAACAAAAGAAAAAAGTCACTCTCAACATGATGAATCTCAGACAATGTTGTCAACCGACTAGAGAAACAGCCCACTGACCAGGTCTTCATATGCCTCGTCTTCAAAGGAGAGCCGTCTCCTCCCGATGAGGGTAATCTTGGAGAAGATGTTGTGCCCCAGCAGCTCTTGAAGCAACTTCTTGCCTGTTTCTCCAGAGGCACCAAGGATGAAGCAGCTTTTATTTTGCTGCCTGAAGTTTTCCTCCAGAGTCTTCATCTCCTCCGCCATGCTGCGTGTGCCAAAAACAAACAGACTGCTCTTAGCACGAGTTCAGGTAATGCTCAACGCAAACAAAGTGTATTATATGCAGGCAATGTATGCAAATGTCAACATGCTGCGCGAACATTGTTTATCGACTATCTTGGCACAAAGGCGTGATCTCACATACTAATTTGGACAATCAATTGGAAATGAATTGTGCCGTCAGATAAACTGATTGCCGCTGTATAGTTCCATGAGAAGAAACGCTAACTTCAGAAATGGACTCTGCAATCGACCATATAAAATAATAAAAACTCGTATGTAGTCGACACGATTTACGACGAATCAACGAGAAGATGTCTATAATTTAGAATCCAGTCGTAGTTCTGTTTCACAAGGCGAGTATGTTCTCCAAACAGTAAAGTAACTTTAAATGCACCTGTTTGTTAAAGCATGGAGACCCCCGGGAGGAACGTTCCTAAAATGTAATAAAGTCGTTGCTTTTCTCTTAACGTGGCTAACATTACTCATATTAGCATTAAGCTGACGTAACGTTGCCTGTAGCCATTTCCTGGTGTTAGCAGCTAGCAGTTAAATTAACGCATGTGTGTGCAGAGTCCAGCTGACAGAGCTGGCTGACTAAAGACCCCCGCCCGGTGTTTACCTCGTGTATTTCACCGGATCAGGGTCGTCGAAATAATTCAAAACCGCTGCAATGACAACAATAAAGACCGTTACCAGCCCGGTCGCTTTTCCGAGGGCATTGTCCAGTATTTTCATAACAGACGTTGCTGGGAGCAATGGATAAATGGCTGGAACACTTCCTGGTTGCTTCATCTTCACAGACGGTGCTGTCTTTCTGCCTCGTTGATAGGCTGAGGGAAAACGTATCAATTCTCGTCACCGTCAACGACAGACTGCACGAGTTTATGGCAATAATGTTAATTATGTATTTTATTTATTTGGTATTATAGTTTTAATTCAACAGAAAGGGAGACATCTTTGAACATCAGCAAGACAGTCATCCTCATTTTCCACCATGGAAAACGTTTGCGCATGCGCACTTGGCATTTAAAAAAAAAAACTGCAAGAATATATATATATATATATATATATATATATATATATAGATTAGAAGAATATCCTACAATCGTAGAATAATACAATATTATGTATTTATTTTCCAACCACTCTAATTTCAATATCATGGCCCATTACAACATAAGTAGTGTCTAACTGTTGCACTAAATTGCTTATTTGGTCTTGTTACGACCGGCTCGGGAGTCGCAACATATAGGAGGGACACAACACCAAGTTAGGTTCAAAACAACCACAGCTGTCAGTTTATTTACAGGACACAAGTAAACTGTAGTGTGCAAATCCCACTGCAGACCAGGGTCTGGTGCCAGGCAGATGAGAGAGAGGGCGAGGGCGGAGCAAGGAGGTGCTTATATAGGTAAATATATATAGGTTGACCTCAACTCCAGCTCCTTCATTTTCTCCTCATGTACTTGTCTCAACCTCTCCATCTCAAACCTCCTTACCTCTTCTCTTTCCTTAGCCTCCATTTCTAGCTCTTTTATTCTGAATTGCAATTCCAATTCTCGCAAACCTACAGATTGAGCATCTTGAGACTTCAAGATTACTTGTTCCGTCTTCCCGACAGTTAAACCTGCAGACACATCGTACTACAACGTCATCATTGCCTGGTCCCTCTACTACCTGTTCTCTTCCATGACCAATGAGCTGCCGTGGCTCAAATGTGACAATGTTTGGAACAGTCAGAACTGCACCTACCCTAAAGCCCTCAACAGATCCATCATCAGCAATGGAACGTCTTACGCCAAGTACAAGATCACCCCGGCAGCAGATGAAGGAGATTCAAACATAAAAGAAAAATATGACCCTCAACATACATTTAATACTCATTCTAACCTCTTTCGTCTCACAAAAGCTAAATGCAAGATGCTGTTCAGCCAGTGTGGTCTCTTATACCAACTGGTTGGTTCACACTCAAAATGTTTGCTGGAAAATAAGAGCTTCTTTTACATAGAAATATGTGCGGAAAAACATTTAAAAAATATGTTAAATATAGATAATAGCTATACTGAAAGCAGGGTCTTGAAGCCATGAGACAGAGAATGGCTCTCCATACTTACATCCTGATAAAAGCCATTTACACATCGGGCACTGTATAAAAATTATAATGAAAAGCTTTTTAACATGTTTAGGATACATTGAATCTTTTCTTTCTAAAATAAGGAGAAAAGTTGTTCGGGATGGCAGCACTTGTGTGTAATTTGGTCAGGAAATCCAGCCTGGACCCGGAGTGCTAACCAAACCCTGAAAAATGTATTTGCCTTTTGTCAGACCATCAGGGGGGTTCATTAGCCAGAACCTCCACACAAAGAAAGCAAGTCCAGTCACATGCAATGAATTCATCAACACCCCATGTTTTTAACACCCCTGCCACTTCGAACACAAGGCATCGACCCAATAGAATAGAATACGATGGAGCCAGGGATGAATCTGATCCTTTAAATTTGTCAGCAGTCAGAGACAGAAAGAAAAGAGGCTGAGGTTGAGAGAAGAGGCCTTTAACTGGCACTCTGCTGAAATGAAATGTCGCCTCTTTGTTCCTTAGCCGCGGGTGCTAATTGGGCCTAGCGGCGGGGAGGAAAGCTGCCGCTGGGCTCCTGTCTGTCGCACCTGTTGAGTCATTGTCTCTCACATTGATCAGACAGGAAGTTGGAGTAAGAAGGCTTATGCCTCAGTGGGTGCGTGGCAGAAACGTGGTTCAATTTCCTTTTAGAGCTCCGCTGCTGGAGGTGGAAATACCAATGGTGGTCAGTGGTCAATTGCGTTTGACCATTGATTAGCTCGCACTAAAGGACATATGGATTATAAAGAGTTGGTTTTCATTGGGTTTTCACATTCTTAATACCTCAATCAAAGTCCCTCCTGCATTTCCTCAGCATTGCATAATGTTTGAGGTCTCTGTCACTGCTGTTCTGACACACAGTTTAGAACAGTGGATGGATGGATTTGCACCTGATTAGAGAGACTGTGGCACCTAATTGCAGAATACTGTAGTATGACTGCTTCTTCACACCAAACATGTGTCTCATTCAACTTCTGCTGTAGAGACTGAAATGCACAAACAATAAAACTCCAACCAAAGGAAAGTCACAGCTCAACAAAGTTTGGGAGATTTGGCTGAATCTCAGCTGTACAGTATCTACATTGATTTTAGTCATAGAAATATTATCAAACTTTTTATTGTGAAGATATGAGGTCCAACAACAATCTCAGACGTGTAATGATAATCCGCTCACAGTTCATACATGATACAGGGTTTACGGATTGACACCTAAATGGGAATTAAACAAACTGACTACAAAAGTCCTTATTCTTTCCTCCTGAAATGTGCATACATCTGTTTCCAAGTTTCTCCATTTTTACGTTTTTGAACCTCAGCTTTCTTATATCTTTTTGTGCAAAATGCAAATAAAGTAGCTTTCACATAAAGCTTAATTGATGTGTAGATGAAGAGCAAAGGTTGGGCTCTCCAAACGCTTCAGTCGGCCACAAACTCCAATTTGTTTACATCTTTACACAAAAAAACAATTCTATATTTCTGCTGTAGGGCATTGTTTTAAGCTTGTTAGCATTTTCAGGCAGCAGTTGAGACCTCTGACAGTTCAGCGTGTTAATCCATGACATTGGATTGCGCTCTCTGGCATTTAACTAAAATGAGCAATTATCAGGAGTCACAACTCATCAGATTTAGTTAGTATTCCCATCATTTGTTCTGCGGCTTCATATCTATATGGACACATTTTTGTGTTCTTGATATATCGTGCCACATGATTTATTGAATGTTATTTTTATTTGTAAAACCGACTGATATGATTGGAATTTTAAGGATATATCCAAATGAAACGCATGTATATAAATATCTCTCACACACACACACACACACACACACGCATGCTGTACACAAACTTGGCTTAAGGCTTTGGACCCTGATTCCACAGACTCTGGAGTGTGATGCTAATGATGGAAATTAATGGAGCCTGACAGCACAATCTGCTGCCCATTGTCTCCCAATAAACAGCTTTGCAGTCCACATGAGCCACAGAGGGGACGGGAGGTTTAAGCTGAGACGGGGAGAGCAGGAGACTGGCAGGGTGGAGGTTCAGACCTCAGGGGACAGAGCTGATCCTGAAGTGGGGATTAGCTCAATTAGACAGGCACTGTCTGATCAAGATGCAGGGTTCGTACCTATGATGTGTGTGTGTGTGTTATGAGAGGAGTCTCCATCATTAAAGCCGACTGTTGCCATTATTTGTTGCTGTGTCTACTGATGCAGCTGCTGCGCACAATAGTCAAGATGATGACCTTCTGCTGAGATATCCATTTATCCTCATGCATTTCAATGGTAATTAATCTCCAATGTGTTTTATCGTCCAAATGATAACAGAACCATGAATATTTCATAGTGTGCTTCTTGTCAACTTGTTACGGGTCAAGTTTTATCAGTAAAATAGCAACAAGAACGTTCTTTTTTGTCATTTATTTTGCTAAGCATAGTTCATAATTTGTCACTAATAAGAATGTAAACTTCAAGTTTTAGGTTTTCACTTTTTTTTTTACAGGATTTACGGTAAGGGTATGTGCGTTCAATGAATTGTTGGAACAAGCAGATACAGAATATACACGAGGCTCATTTTTTAATTTATTTTTACAGGTTTTCTCTGGAAAAATATACAGATTGTCAGTTTAATTAAATTTTAAATTTTTTAATTTTAAATTCATTTCCACCTGGATACCATGTCCACGTGCACTAAAATGTATTTGTTTCCCCCTCTAAAAAGACACTGATGTAGTTTACAGTAAAATGAACAGTTTAAAAAAGTTTACTATTATTAGAAAGTTAGAGTCCCTATATATATATATATATATATATATATATATATTCAGCAAGAATTGAAAAAGATAGAACCAAGTAAACTGTAGTGGTCTTGTTGCAAATTGTAATATTGTATTATCATTTTCATCTACAGTAAAATGTATGTTTTGTTATACAATAACATACAAAAATCAAGTCATGGTACCTTTTAAATATTATCATATACAATTACAAAATACTGTCTTACAGTGGGAGCAGTTTTTTCTCAATTTAAAGGAAACTTCAAAAGTTAAAGGGGTTAAAAGGACCATACCAGCTGCCAGATCCCGTGATCAGCGGTGAAAAAAAAGCGGTGCAATAAAGTGACTCCACAGTGGGACAGAGGCTCAGAGTCTTCCTCAGGTTTGGCTTTGTTGCAGTCTCAGACTTGAGGCTCAGACCTTCCCAATATGTTTCGAGGCGAAGCGGAGTATCACTGGTGCTCAGAGGAGCTTTCCTGTTCAAAGAGCCGCAGCTAAGCAGCAATGAGACCTGCTTTCCCTCCTCTGAGGAACAATGGGCTCATTAAAGGAGCAAACAGATTATCACTGTTTTTCAATAGATGGTGCTGAAAAGAGTCTGGCGGTCATGGCAGCTCCCAGCAGGTACACTTGCACATCTGGCCAACCTGCTGCTAACTACCAACTACATCTGTCAGTCTATCTGCATATCTGTCTATTTTAGTATATAAATGTCTTAATGACTCTGGATTTAGTTTGTTTCCCTCATGTGTGCAGACAACAATTTTGAAAAACACAAACTTTACCGTATGAAGCACCTTGAAATAAACTGCTTTTTCAACAACAAATGAAGGAAGGCAGGTTTGTGAGATGAGATGTTTTTGAAGGATTACTTTCTTGTGGAGACTTCTGTTGATCAACCAAAAGAAAGCTGTAAGTTCACT